TTTTTTTTTTTTTTTTTTTTTTTTTTTTTTTTTTGTAACACAGTGGGAGCATATTATTCACTGCCTTTTTTCTTGCTTTTTTGGTTGAACACTGTATTTTGGAGATTATTCCATATCAACTAATTAATGTAAGCACTTAGTAAGTCCTCATTAATGTTAATTATTATCATCAATACATAAGTAGATTTCCTATTCTTTTTTTAGGCTGCAAAACTCCATTGCCTAGATGCACTGGTTCCTCACTGATGGACATTTAGGATGTTTCCAATATTTGGCTATTACAAACAATGCTGCAGTGAACATCTTTGCTTCTAAGTTCTTGCATAGATATATGAATATATCTGCAGGAGAAATTCCTGTTGCAAAAAGTGCCTTTTAAAGTTTGTTAGATGTTTAGGAGGCAGTGTGGCAACTGGTTAACCCTGTTTGCATTCCCACTAGGAATGTATGAGAAGGCTTGGTTTCCCATCCCTTTCCAAAACTGTCTTGTCAGTTTCCTAATCTGATAGGTGAAGATGGTATTTTGTTTTAGTTGCATTTCTTTTTCTAATGTGAAACTGAATGTCTTTTCATTAGAGATATTAGTGGGGTTTTTTTTTTTCCTGTGCTATGTCCCTTGCCTTTTTTTCATTTGCCCTATTTTGATTGATTTATTTTTTGCTGGTCAGTATGGGATCTGAACCCTTGACCTTGATGTTACAACACCATGCTTTAACCAACTAAGCTAACTGGCTAGCCCCCATTTGCCACTATTACTTTGTCACTTATAGCTTTATTTTGCAGATATGTAAAATTTTATGTAGTTATGGCTTCTAGGTTTTCAATCTTGCTTAGATTTTTCCTACTTCAAGATTAAAATGTTCTTTTATGTCTTCTAATAATACGTTTACAATTTTATTTTTATTATTTTTTTTATTTTTTTTTCGTGTCTGGCAACGGATCGCAACCCTCAGTGTCGCGCCCGTACCGGACCAGGACCGGCAACGGGATCGCAACCCTCGGTGCTGCGCCCGCACCTCGCTCAGCCAGTGAGCGGGAACCGGTCTGTATGTGGGATCCGAACCCTCGGCGGGAGCGCCGCCGCGCTCCCAAGCGGCGCACTGTAGCAGTGCGCCACCGGGCCGGCCCCTACAATTTTATTTTTTATGCTTAAATCCCTGAGCCATTTGAATCTGTGCTTAATTGTAATATTGGATTATAGTGCAGCATATATTTGCTTGGGTGGTTGAATACTGAAATCCCAACAAAACCAATGGTTGCCAGCGTAGGTGAAGCATAGCACGTACATGAGAGAAGAATAGCTAGTATTGTGATGTAGTTAATAGTTTTCAGAGTTTAAAATTTCCATTTCGTCCTGTATCATTCTTGTCACAGCTTTGGTATCTTTTAATTTTTGAGGAGCTTTTAGAAAGAATAGCCTTCTGCTTTATTCACAGTTTACCATTAATTTAAAACACATTCATGTTTATTCTTGATACTGCATTGACCAAAAGGCTAGTAAAAGGCCCTTTTATTAATGCAGAAGAAATATTTAAGCTCCCTGTTTCTTAGTTACAATTGCTACTTCATGGTTTCTAAGATGGGTACTTAGTGACTGTTGTCAGGCAAGAAATGGAAAAGTAATGGTAGTAATTTGGCTCAGGAAAGTAGCATTTGGGAATATTGAGAGAATTCATTTATTATTATTATTTTTTAATATCTAAAATCACTAACACTGCTCAGCTACATTGGCTTGGGGGATTTATGATTTTTCTAAGTACTGTTACTGGGGAAAATTTTTGCCTGGGTTTGTTTACTATTTTACTAGCTAGCTCTTTTCTATGCAAAGTTAGCAACCGAAGTGTACACTCCCTAGGCTGTGGTTTTTCCACATACAGGCAGTGACGATGCTACTGCTTTTATTAGCCAGCTTTTCAGGAACTTTTTGGGCCTAAATGCAATGTTTTATATTCTTCTTTTAAAAAGTATCGGGATATTGAAAGTAATGTCTTGCTATTATTACTAGGACTGGGTAATTGTGGCCAGGGCTACTTTGAGTCACCAGCGTTTCAGCTCTAATAAAGCAAAAGCCGGGCCGGCCCGGTGGCGCACTGCTACAGTGTGCCGCTTGAGAGCGCGGCGGCGCTCCCGCCGAGGGTTCGAATCCCACATACAGACCGGCCGGCCGCTCACTGGCTGAGTGAGGTGCGGGCGCAACACCGAGGGTTGCGATCCGTTGCCGGTCACGAAAAAAGACAAAAAGGAAAAAAAATAAAATAAAAAAATAAAGCAAAAGCCATTTAATAAAAACATAAAAGCCAAATAAAATCAAGTTGAGGTGGCTTATTTTTGTGCTCACTTTTTATGTCTTGTGCCAGGTACGTCCTCTCTCAAAAGTGTTAGCTTTCTCTACTTGTTCTCTTTATGGCAGAAGTTTTCTCCTTCAACATTTCTTTTACTATTTTTTAACACACACACACACACACACACACACACACACACACTCTCTCTCTCTCTCTCTCTCTCTCTCTCTCTCTCTCTCTCTCTCTCTCACACACATACACAGTTTGCTTCAAGAAAGCCAGTGTATAAAACTTTGGATTTAGCGCTGATTTATTTTTTTTAGCCATCACTCATGAACTGGGCTGGCAAAGGTGTTAGAAATAATCCAGTGCTACATATAAAGGAACAGAGATCCAAAATGGTGAAATAACTAGTCCAAGGTCATAGATAGTGGTCAAAATAGGAATAAAACTCTGCCCGCGGGACTCCTAGTCTAGCAGGCTTGCCAGAATAACACGTTAAAATATGATTATTTCTTTGTAATTTTCTTTAAAGATCATGTAATGTTTAAATAATGAACTGATGGTAACAATTTTTTGAGCAAATCTGTTGCATAAAGTAGCACTTTATGAAATGTATTTCAGGTATGTTAATAGGTTGTTAATGTGGAAGAAAGAGGGCAATATAGAGGATCCCCCCTTTTAAAACAGTATCTTATGGTATTAATGTGTAGGAAAACACCTTTAAACACTGACACCTGTAATTCAAAACCTAAGTAATCATTGAGCCAGATTGCTTTGACAGAAAAAAATCATTAAAATTTTGGTCACTGGAAGATTAATACTCACCTTGTATATTTCTCAGTGAAAGTACTTGCATAGTAATCCATGTCATTGTTTATAAGTCCCTCTGCAATGGTACTGTCAAGGTCCTTTACCGAAGGATCAGTGAAGCTGAAGATCAGAGCCGGAAAAGCATCTGGATAGCAGTGATTAGAGTCTGTTAAAAAAAAAAAAAAAAAAAAAAAAAAAAAAACTAACTCAAAGAGTTAACATAATGTATTAGGTAAAATGAGGTGATTCATCTACCTTTGGACCTTAACAAGATGTCTTCAGAACACAACTTGAAGGGGATCGAAGACAGAACCTGTTGGATGACCTTGTAACTCGAGAGAGACTACTTCTGGCATCCTTTAAGAATGAGGGTGCAGAACCAGATATAATCAGGTATGTTTTCATTTACAGGGATTATGTGGTGGGTGAAGGTTTATTTGCAGATATTGCAGCTATTTCCAGAATGGCTTAATTTCTTTAACTATGAAGATATATTTTGTTCACTTATAGTGATTAATTTTCTATTCAGTTTAGTTTTCATTTTCTAGATTTAGTAAACCCAGTATGTTCAGCTGAATCCCATCTTGGGTGGAGCATACTTAGAAGAAAGTTGGAAGATTTTTGCATTCTTTGAGTTTTCTGCTTTGTTAGTTGCCTTATAAACTCCTGAAGTCACTAATCTGTGAAAAAATGAGATTTTTTTTAGATTGGGATGTTGAAGAAATGTGTCCTAGTAAGACTGTCGTCGGGGTTTATGGATGTAGAGGAGTATGGCAGTTGGATTTTTCTCCCCGTTCCTTGCCAGTGAGTGATTCACACTCTGCAGAGCTGATAGCTGCTCTGAACTCAGCTCTGTTGGAAGACCCAGAGAAGTGGTCCAGCTTTCCAAGGCTGAGTTTAATGAACCATAAGTTGTTACATCTTTAGAGCTGGCCTCCCTCCTGCTTCCAGAACCCCCTTAACTTCACTGTGGGAACCATCACAAAAGGAAGTGAGCTCAGGATAGTAAGCTGCTTCTCCCCCACTTCCCTGCTAGGGATGATGTATTCATTGTGCAGCGGCAGCTTGTTTCTACTTAGTTCCCAGTTAGGGATAATACGGCTTCCCAGGGCCAGTGGTTTTTGACCCTAGCCACACATTGCCAGACATCTCTAAATCAGAGCGGGGATGGGGGTGGGGCAGGGGTGCCCCAGGTGGTTCTGATGTGCAGCCAGGACTGCAAACCACTGCCCTAGGACAAGCTGAAGAGGATCAAACAGTTTTTGTCCTGTTGGTCCCAGTCTTCTTAGGAGCGGGTGATCCAAGGTTTTCATGAATTACGAAATACAGGAGGCTAGATGAAATGTTTCTGTGAAGAAGTGAAACCAAGGAGCCACTGAGGGAGGAGTTGCAGGCAGGTGTCCTGGGCAGGGTTTTCAGTGAAGACTGAAGCCTAAGGTGGGCCAGTTTGTGGTGGTTGCCGATATTCCTCAAGCAGTATCCAGTCCCCTGGATGCAGGGCTGCAGTGAGTGGAAGACGGTGGAGATCCAGGTGGGGGAAGTAGAGCAGGCGAACAAGGGAATCAAAGGTGCAAAGGAAGTTCCATCTTTCAAGAAGGGCCGTTCCATTGAAGGAAGAGGTCTTTTTAGTCAAGAGATGAATGAGGGCAGAGTTAGGAGGTGGAACACATCTCATGGGGGAGTAGGGGTCAAGTAGAGAGATGATAGCCAGAGGGGGAGAAAACATTTAAATAGTTCTACTTCGTAGTGGTGGAGGCAGTCATGGTAAATCAGTCTGTTATGTGCTGGTGTAGGGAAAGTGAAGGAAGATGGTCAGGGCCCCTCAGATGTTCAGAATCTTGCCGGGCATTTGACGTAAATATGCATGTGCACCTGTTAAAGCTACACAACTATGCCAGTTGTCTGATTAAGGCCATAACTACGCTAATTGTATGGCTAGGCAATTCACAACTAAAGCCAAAACATTTCAGGGCTAGGGCTCAGACCCTTCAAACCCGTTGTACAGACTGGGTTACCAGACCCCTCACACTCAGGTCCACGCCGGGTAATTGGGGAAAGATCCTGGGAGCTGTGGGCAGACAACGTGAGCTCAGTCCTCAGCAATGGTAGCAGCACTTACAGGTCCAGTGGTGGCGGTGGCCTCACAGAGTGTTCTGGGGACCCTGGCAGCAACAGCTTGCAGCAACAGCCTCCAGCAACAGTAACGGCCTCCTCTATGACCCCCCGGGCATATCCTGGCGGGGGGGGGCGGTGCGTGGATCAGAGCCACTCATCCTTTATACTTAAGTCCATAACCCAGGACACCTGGGTGCACATGCGCAATTACATTAGACAATAACCAAGAACGCCTGGGCACATGTGCATATTTACGTCAAATGCTTGGCAAGATTCTGAACATCTGAGGGGCCCTGACCATTTTCCTTCACTTTCGCAACAGCGCCCAGGTATTCCTTGGCTATTGTCTGATGTAGATGTGCATGGGCACCCAGGTGTCCTGGGTTATGGACTTTAGTATAAAGGATGAGTGGCTCTGATCTATGCTGTCCCCACCACCTGGATGTCTGGGAGGGTGGGGGGAGGCTGCTACTGCTGCTGGAGGCTGTTGCCGCCAGTGCCCCTGGGATGCCCCGAGAGGCCACTACTGCTGCTTCTGCTGGTACTGCTGAGGACTGAACTCTTGTCATCTGCCAGTGGTTCCTGGCATCTTTCCCAATTACCTAGCATGGACATGCCGTCTGAGGGGTCTGGAGACCCAGTCTGTACAATGGGTTTGAAGGGTCTGAGCCCTAGCCCTGACAATACAAATGGAAACAGTATAACTGAAATATGAAATGTTTTGGCTTTAGTTATTAATGGCCCAAACAAGACAGCCAGGTTCTGCTTATTGTTCTTCATTAATTATGTCATTTAATGATGTTGAAGGGGCCAACTTATGAATTAGGTCTTTGTGGGTTTTGCTGGATTTTTTTTTTTTTTTTTGGTTTTCGGTCCTCTCTTGCCTTTTTTACCTCTCCTCTTCTCACTGTGGTAATCTCTGTATTCCTGCTATTCAGCGTGACCTGCAGATGAGTAGCATCAGCATCACCTGGAAGTGGTAGAAATTGAGGTGATCAGACCCCAACCCAGATTTACTTAAACAAAACCTGCATTTTAACAAGATCATTGGGTGATGTGAACATATGTTGCAATTTGAGGAGTACTGCTTTGTATCTATTTGTTCTTAAGTGTGGCACTTTGCCCCAGAGTCACCCAAGAGGCTTATCAAAAAGAAAAAAAAGAAAGAAAATCAAAGAAAAAGAAAAATACAAGCATCTGGACCATATACTTGGCAGAATCTGGTTAGTAGTCTGTGGGGAGGACTGGGTAGCAGTGAGGCTGGGGAAACTTCCCAAGTGATTCTGATAGGTTGGAATCACAGCTTTGTCCTGGTATACTAGTGATGATGCTAACAGCTCACATCTGCTGTTTGTTTTCTGTGCACCAGGCACTATGCTAAGCTCTTTATGTCCATTTGCTCAGGAGTTCTTTGTAACATCCTGTTTTACAGAAGAGAGACTGAGGCTCAGAGGAGTCAAGATTCTAAAGCTAATTAGTCTCAGAGCTTGGATTTCAGGTCTGAACTCTTAAACCATTGCACCATAAAAAGAACTGAACCTTGTGTTAGAAGGACTCACCTCTGTAGCTCACTAGTCTTTCAGTCATCTGGATTTCAAAATCACTGACCTTAAGCTGGGGATATGTGTTCTGCCCATTTTTCATGGTTGTTAGGACCAAATGAAATGATTGCTATGTAAAGGGCTTTGTAAAGTCTAAAACCTTTATAAATATGAGATGTTACCAGTGTGTTGTGTTGTGTTGGAGACCTTCTGTCTCTCCTGTCGTACCCTCCAGTGCTCTAGAAGGACCTGGTCTCCTTGACCAGTCTTGTTCCATGTGTTGCACCTGGTCCCCTGCCCTCTCATCTCCTTTTCCGAATCTTACTTGTTCTGTGTCCTCTTTCCTCAGTGCCCAGCTTGCTGCCTGTTGTCTTGTTAGTAAACAGTCTCATGTTAATTTAATTCTAGTGATGGAATCAGTGGCTGGTGGTGACTTGTCTTCTGGAGGTAGTTTAACTGAAGTCTCCTTGAATACTAGGACTTAAACCAAAGTAAATTAATTGATGGGAGGATTTAGGGAATTTGGCGGTTTAGTAGCAGAGGTGTTTTTTTTGGATGGAGGCGTCTGAGGACCTTTTAAGTTCTACCACTAGGCCTACGGCCTCCTATTCTTCCTGCGCATAAGGCTGATCCACATGGTGGACCTAAGGCCGTTACTTATTGGTTTGTTGGTGAATGGTTGGGGTGGCATGGGGACACAATGACCAGACTGAGGAGAAACTGTGAAGCAAAGGTGACTGGAGTCCTGAGGGTTGAAAATAATTAAGGTAGTTGGCCAGACCTATTGACATGCTCTCAGGATGAAACTGAGGGCAACTTGTATATTACATCTTTTTAAATTCAGGAACAGAAGTCTAGAAAAGTTCAGAATAAGCTTCCAGAAGAATTCTGTTTAAAAAGTACTCATGCAAGCACTGTCGAGGAGAAATGACTCATGAGGGGTGATTTGAAGAAGGTAAAAATGGGTATAACAGACAGTGATGGTCCGTTCCAGATGACATGGAGTCTGGCCACGAGTAAGAAACTAATGTGGCAATTAGATATTGATTGCCACGAAGAAAGAAAATCATTGCAGATAAAAAGGAAAGAGAATGGTAGGTGGCCTGGAAGGTGAATCCCTCGTTCACTTCCACTGGTGAATCCTTGTTGAGCTAGGATTGCATTAGACCCATTGCACCCACCCTAACAGGAATGTGTCCGCATATACTTGTCCAAAAAGTCCAGGTCCTACAGACATGCCATGGGAGTTTGATAAGTAAGAAAATGGATCCTAGATGAAGCCATTCTCAAATACTGTATAGAAAGTCCCTGGGAAATCTGCCCAAGGCTTATGAAAATGGATATCCAGATAGTGTTGATCCAACTAGTGAGGGAGAATAGAACCATTGTGGACTTACTAGAGAAAAGCAGTTAAGTGTATGAATGAGTTAATGAATGAACGAATGAACGTTAAAGCCAAAGTAGATTGCTAGAAGTGAATTGTCTTAGATTTGAGGTCAGAATTGTGCTTTGATTACATTCAGTTGCCTATATCGGAATGTGATTTTTGCCTTTTTTACCCTTACCCTTCAGGCCTCTTCACCCCCAATTTCTCATACCTGATAATTCTTTTGTTTGGACCTAGCCTTCTGAGGATCTTAATCAGTTGTCCACATGACCAGTTTTGGTTCACAGTTGGACTGTATCCTCTTGCCTTCCGATTGTCAGATTGCCTAGTAATTTCTCACACCAACCGTT